TTTCTTTTCTTCTGCTTTATCGATTTAGCACCTGGTGAGACACCCAGGCGATGTTGTGCAACAGACGGGTCAATCCCTGGTATGTCACTAGGGCTCCACGCAAAAACATCCAGATTAATTGTCAGACATTTCACCAACTCCTCTTTCTCACCCTGCTCATCCTATCCCTACGCTGAATTCATGTCCTCCTTCCACCATAATTTTTTCTGTAGCGTCGAGAGGTTCGATTCGTCCCCTTGGGGGCTCGAGGTCCAGCATCATCACTGGTGGGGATCCCTTCGTCTGTATGCTGTCTACATAACACTTCCTCGAGGACTGTTGGTTGTCCCTCACATATCCCACACCTCGACTGGTTGGGAATTTCATCACCTGGTGGTAAATAGAGAGAATAGCACCTGCAGTATTCAACAACGGTCGACCGTAGATCGCGTTATACGCCATGGAGGTTTTGCAACCAGAAATTTTGCAAGGATGACCACACTCCCTGGGTAGGTACCCAACATTACTGGTAGCTCAACTACTCCTTCTGGTATCACAGTAGCCCCTCCAAACCCTATAAGGGGGTTTGACACGGCCTTCAACCTTTCCGCCGAAATTTTTAAACCTTAAAATATTTCCTAAGTGAGAACGTTCGTTGCACTTCCGCCGTCAACCAACANATCTGCTTTCGCCATGGAGATCTGATGATACCCAGAGAATGCATCTAGGAAGCTTAGCCGTTCATGACCCGATGTGGCATCCACCAGGTGATCTATTCTGGGTAGCGGGTATGAGTCTTTTGGACACGCCTTGTTGAGTCCGGTGTAGTCTACACACATACGCCATGCCCCGTTCGGCTTTTTCACCAAGACAACATTTGCTAACCATTCGGGATATTGTACCTCCCTGATGAATCCTGCCTGCAGTAGCTTGTCGACCTCTGCCTTCGCTGCTGCCTGCCGCTCCGGGGCTAAATTTCTTATCTTCTGTTAAATCGGTTTAGCACCCGGTAAGATACCCTGGCGATGTTGTGCAACAGACGGGTCAATCCCTGGTATGTCACTAGGGCTCCACGCAAAAACATCCAGATTAATTGTCAGACATTTCACCAACTCCTCTTTCTCACCCTGCTCATCCTATCCCTACGCTGAATTCATGTCCTCCTTCCACCATAATTTTTTCTGTAGCGTCGAGAGGTTCGATTCGTCCCCTTGGGGGCTCGAGGTCCAGCATCATCACTGGTGGGGATCCCTTCGTCTGTATGCTGTCTACATAACACTTCCTCGAGGACTGTTGGTTGTCCCTCACATATCCCACACCTCGACTGGTTGGGAATTTCATCACCTGGTGGTAAATAGAGAGAATAGCACCTGCAGTATTCAACAACGGTCGACCGTAGATCGCGTTATACGCCATGGAGGTTTTGCAACCAGAAATTTTGCAAGGATGACCACACTCCCTGGGTAGGTACCCAACATTACTGGTAGCTCAACTACTCCTTCTGGTATCACAGTAGCCCCTCCAAACCCTATAAGGGGGTTTGACACGGCCTTCAACCTTTCCGCCGAAATTTTTAACCCTTAAAATATTTCCTAAGTGAGAACGTTCGTTGCACTTCCGCCGTCAACCAACACCCTTTTTACGTCATAGTCTGCTATGTCGCCAATTATTACTAAGGCATCATCGTGGGGTGCTGCCACACCTATCAAGTTCCCTTCACCAAACATGATGCTCTGATCAAACCTAGCCCTTTTCTGAATAGAACATACTGCAGCTGTCCGTGCATAATTTTTTCTAGCAAAGTTTGAGTCTCATCCGGCCACAACTCCTCCAAAAATTACATTTATAACACCGACTCTAGGTGGTGGTGGATCCTCAACCTTCTGTTTGCCTTGATCATTCATTGCATACTTTGTAAAAAAGCCTCGCTTCAAGAGGCGCTCGATCTCCTTCTTCAAATGTATACATTTTTCAGTTTCATGCCCATGGTCCTTGTGGAAGTGATAATATTTGCCCTTGTCCCGTTTGCCAGTTGATGCTGCCATCGGTCTTGGCCATTCAAGTTCCTTCATGTCTCGAATTTCCATCAATATCTTATCCCGCGTAGTACTCAAAGGGGTGAAGGCTTTGATCTCATCCCGTCTTTGCCTGACCAACCGGTCCTGAGAGTACCCCCAACTTAAATGTTCATTCCTCTGCTTGTCCTTGTCAATGGGTTTTCGTACATCGCCTACCTTTCGCTTGTTGCTCCCCGTCTCCCATCCTTCTCTAAGATTTTTCGTGACCTTTTCTGCTTCCTCTGCGTCAACATATTTNTGCGTTCGGTTCATTAATGTTGTCACTACTGCAGACATTTGAAGATCCCTTATACTAAGGGTTGCCCGATTGAACCTAGTCAAGTACTCCGGTAAAGATTCATCCTTCTCCTGTACCACCTGCATCAATCCATAGGCTGTCTTTCGTTTTCTCTTGCTACTCATGAAGTATGCCATGTAGCTCCTGGAGAGCTCATCAAAAGTCTTCATAGACTTAGGTGCCAGTGTGGGCACCCAGTCTCTTGCTTCCCTCCTAAGTATCAGGGAGAACGACCTACGCATCATTGCGTTTGGGGCTGCATATAGCCTCATTAGATCGACAAAAGTCCACAAGTGGTCCAGCGGGTCAGTGACTCCATCGTATGCTTCTATCATTGGCTGTTTAAAACCCTTCGACAAAGGGACGACCATTATTTCTGGGGCGAATGGATCTTTCTCCAATACCATTTATCTGCGTCTTTCCTTCCTCCTTGTTAATGCATCGTCTATCTTCTGAGTCATCATCTCCTCTATCTTCTTTTCCAAATCAGTCACGGGTTGAGGAACCTGAGGACACACAAAATCGAAAGTACCTAGNCCCAATGTCTCTTATTGTTGGCTGAGTAGCAGGCGGGGTAACCGTTGGCGCTACCTGGGATGGTGGGGCTGCGTTTTATGTGTTTGGTTCTGCAAGAGGGTAATCATGGCCCCAATTGTGTCTCCAAAGCATTGAATTGGCTCTGAGTTATATACTGCGGTGGCTGGTCATGACCCCGGGCGACAGATTCTGACTCTGTCTCTGCTGTATTTCCGACCATGCGTGTTTCACTCCTAGTTCATCTCCTTGACATAGCTTTTTTATTCAGTGGAATTCCCACAGATGGTGCCAATGAAATGGATACGAGTTTACCTTGTCTAGTACGGTGCTCCGGCTACTCCAATCAACGGTTGCTACCAGCAAAAAGAGGTCGGGGCTTTCTCCCCCCTTGTACCTCCGACGTGTTTAGAGAAATAAGGGGAAAGTATAGTGCGAATTTACATAGTTTTTTTGGTTTCAAGAAGAATTACCTTTCTCACCTTGAAGGTATTTATAGACGCTTGTCGCCGTGCTCACGTTCGGAGTTAGTGGTGCCACGTGTCCCACGTAGACCCCTTATTAACCCCACGTTTTAGTGGAGTAACCCCCACTTCGCAGGTGGTTGGTTGTGCCCACGTTCTCTGTTGACCGGTTCCTGTCTAGCTCGTTGTCTTTGGTGTGGTTAAGTGCATCATTGAACTCATTGTGGCAGACGACCTATGTGAGCTTAGGGGGTCGCGTGGGGGTCAACGGTCTCATGGGGGTGACAGCCTCATGGTGGTAGACAATCTTTTGCTGGTAGACGACCCATGTGAATGTAGAGGGCCTTATAAGGGTCGACGGCCCATTGGGGTCGACGTCTTTATGGTGGTGGATATGTGAGCCAGCGGTTCCATGCGGTCTACGTGGAGCATGTTTCAAATAACCAATGGCTCATGTGGTAAACTATCAATTCCATCCTATATCACATCTCCTATCTATAGACTAAAATGACCATTTTAAGCATTACATAAGCATCGATAGTAATGTGTCATTAAGTCCCTGTTTGATTTCGTTAAAAAATAGATTTTAATAAAGATCAATGAGATTCATGATTTAATAATTAATAAAAATTGTGAATATCATGAAATCTGTGATTAAAATACATTATTGACTTTAACTAAAACTTTTATTCTCTTTTTTAGTTAAACCAAATAGGGGCTCGGTGTGTCATAATTCTTGAAAACTTTTATGACGGATTTTTCTTTTTGATGAAAACATTTTTAGCAAATTGAGTTACAAGTTTTGCCCAAAAAAATGAAAAATAAAATCAAGTTACCCAACTATTGTTATGGGAATTTATTGTTAGTACTAAAGGATGTGAGTACATGGGAAAATTCCATCCGCGGTCACTAAACTTCAAGCAAAATTTCAATTGAATCACTAAAATTAATTTTACTTTTAAATTTCACTATTTTGTCACATTTTGTTACTCATCGTCTCTAATTTGACAGAAATTGCTTAGTTAATATCATACCACAATCTGATCTACCACGTATTCATTATGTAACAGGATAGTAAATTAGCATGATGCAGAGCAATTACGTCAGAGATCTATTAGGGAAATACTCTGAATTAAGTTCATGTTCGATACAAATTTTAAAAAAAATTGATTATTATTTAAGTCAATTCAATAATTAATTAATTTAATTCTAATAAAATATTTTATGGGATCCATTACTTATCAACCATATATTTCATCAATTTTTATCAAAATTTATTGAGAACTTAAAATTTTATATCATTTTGTGAGACCTTGACTTCTAAAGAAAATAATTTAATAAAATAGAAAAATGGGTTGAAGCTGAACTAGCTATGTAGGTAGCCAATGATATGTGTCCACATGGCACCTCGGGGAATGACCGTTGAACACCTCATTAAAAAGCGTCTCTTCCCTATCCGCTTGGAAATCAAAACAATCTTCCTTCCACAACCAGAAACACACGGAACCCAATTCTACAGTTCTCTTTGCTACAGTTTTTGCAGTTTCTCACACTGCATTTCCACGTTAAGACTCCACGAAATGATCCCAAACTTCAGTTTCTGAACAAAATCTATTGAATAAACACAGATAGTTAAATACACGAAAACTCAGCGCAGAATTACAAAAAATGGAGTGTATTACAGGTCGAAACTTGGCAGCAATGGCGGTTTCAGTATGCCCAACAGTCAACTTATCAAGAAGAAAGAGAGTGAGAAGCAAAATGGGTTATTTTCCAATAGATACGTATGGTTTGTGTATATCAAAGACTTCATTTAAAGTGAGGTGTGGGGGTACAAGTGCTGGAAGCGATAGTTGTGTGGCTTTGCCTGTAAAAGAAGATTTTGCTGATGAAGAAGACTATATAAAGGCTGGTGGGTCTGAGCTTTTGTTTGTTCAAATGCAGCAGAACAAACACATGGATCAACAGTCTAAGTTTTCTGATAAGGTAAATTTCGTCCCCCCCCCTCTCTTTGTTTCTTTCACATTTTGTATTCTTGGTTTTTATCTTTTTCTTGATTTTTAGTTTCTCCGTTACATATTTCGTTGATTAGTTCTGCCATAAGGATCTAAATGTATCCCCGTGAAAGGCCCCTGCCTTTTGTGTTTATAAGTACTTTGTGCACTCTTTCCTTATAAGTCAGGTTTTAAGGGTGAGGTCTACTCAAAATAGTTGTTACATCGTTCTATGTGGTGGCCATATATTGGCTAATGCATGTACTGAAATAAAATATATGCGAAAATTTTGAGGATAAATATGAATTGGTGGCATTACAGAATCGTTCTTGGGACATTACTAAGCAAGGTTTAGATTTTTCTTGGATGGAATTTTTTGAGGAAACTGCAAAGATTTCAGTTGAGAATTCTGTATAGGAAATCTTTCATTAAAAATGAGGGTATTGTCATTATAATAATGTGAGTTTTCACAATTTAGCGTAAGTGCGTGGCAAAGCCTTCATATAAGTCGTCAAAATTTTTTGTAATTGTGGTCCAAATTCTTGAAAGTATTTGAATCACTGTATTGTTGTACACTTTGAGTGTGAGGTTTAAACTTTTAAAATAATTGAGATTTGGAGTTGCAAGTACTATACAAAGAAACTTAGGTCCTATAGAATCCTGTCGTGGTATGTGCTGAAACTTGGGCTCTGAGTGTTGTTGGTCTGCATATTCTTGGTGCCAAGTTTTGATTTTCCATATGCTTCTAATGTGTGATCTAACTATTTGGATTGAACGAATGAAGACATATTTTGGTTTTTATTTTTCAGCTTCTGACTTTTTTCTCTTTCCCTTCTGCTTGTTTACTTTGTTTTCATCCCTGCAACCTGAGCTCTCTTTCTCCGCAATGAGACCTAAACTTTTTTCTTTCATCTTTAGATTCCTTCATAAACTCTAGTCATAATCTCAAACGCTTCTTCCAACCTTTAAGCTAGATGTCCTGAATTGACATCATATTCTCTACAAATATTTCATTTAAATTTATCTTGAGCTTTAGCCCCTGTTTGTCTCTCATTCTTTCGAAAATCTTTTTTCTATGTACTCATTTTTTACCACATTCACACAATAAAATATTATACACTTAAACCCAAAGTTTTTCCCTACTTTTTAACCACAAATTCTCCAAAAGTTCACTATTTAAAACAATGTTTTTTCCCACCAAATAGGGGCTTAATTCCTTCATTGGCCTTTACATGAATAACCCAGCACAAACGCGGATCCGCTGGTTCTGCACAAAGAATGTACCTCTGCATTGTGTAGATGACACTGTGGTCTCAACTACGACTTACTGACTTGAAGGCATGCTCTAGAAGACGACAAAGGGTTGCACATAGTTCAGTTTGGTATTTTCTGGTTATATTTAAAAGGTTCCTATGCTATTGCTTTGGAAAATGCTCAAACTGCTATAAGGGCGTGTTCGATAGAGATTAAAATCGGATTAAAATTGACAAACTAGCTGTTATTGTTAACTTTTATTAGACGAATGGGACCCAATAACGGTTATATTTTCAATTTTAATCCGATTTAAGCCTAGCCAAACATGCTCTAATATTTGAAATATGAAACTGTTGACATCCGACCTGCGACATAAGTAAGTCCGTTTGTTATATACACTTAGCTCATGCTAAATTAAGGTCGGCTCGTACTTATGACCGTCGTGGTTTGAGGGGACATAATGATTGTAGATTCCTTACACACTGTAAAAATATTCAATCAATTAATGAGATTTAGGACTTACGTCAGCGCCCTCCAATTCCACCAATCATATGTTATAGTTTCATTCTCTAATCAGTTCATTAATTACTGGGAACCCCATTTAACGTAGCTTCATAATAACCTAATGGAGCCGACCTCAACAACCAATCAGGATATGCCGTTGGCGTACCTTCTCAGCTCTATACTGTATGTTTATTTAACAGCAACCAATCAAGACTTAAGCCATTGGCATAAGTTCCCAGCTTGGTAATGTTGTTAACAAGACAGAAATATGAAGTTGTTAGGCTTCCTCTCCCTCATTTCCCTAAGGATACCATCCTCCTTTTTATAGGAAAGAATGTGCCTGTATCTTTCATATTCTTGTCTTGTCAACAACAGTGCCGAACTAAGAACTTGTGCCAACGGCTTAAGTCTTAATTGGTTGCTGTCAAATCAACATACAGTACCGAGCCAGGAAGGTACGCTAATGGCATATCCTAATTGGTTGCTGTCAAATGAACTTTGGTGACGGATTGACCTTGAACATGGTTGGCTCGTTTTTCCATATTCACCATTATTACAACAATGAATGGTTTGGATAGGCGTCCTGAGCTAAAGCATCAAACTCAGGAGACGCCTTCCAAACGTCCACTACCTTAGAAGCTTCAACTTCTTCGGCTTTCTTAGTGGCTTCTTCAGCCCTTTTCACAGCTTCACCCGCTTGAGCTCGCTCCTCGTCAGCTCGTGTTTTCTCCTCTTCAGCCCTCTTTTTCTCATTGGCTGCTGGTTGAGTAGACTTCTCCCCCCAAATCTGCAGGCCTTGTTATCATCCATAAGCCTCAACTCTGAGGCTAATTTTGCCTCCACCTCCACTCCTATCTTGTTGAGGCAATCTTCATAGTCTTTCTCCTTCTCTGCAAACATCGCCCTCTCAGCCTCCATATTCTCAAATAAGCCTAAGGCTTAGTTTTTCACCCCAAGCATCTTATCCAGTTCGGTCTTCACTTGAGAAAAAAAAGTAGTGTGAGTTATAAAACGAAAGAAAAAATTTCCAAGTATATGAGCTCGAGCGAACTACCTTATCTGCCACAGACATCATATACAAGATGGATCTGTGGCTATGGAGCTGAGCTGAGATGATGGCCTGGCCTACAGGCGTCTCAGTTGGGAATTGTCTTTCCCTCTCATTCCAGCTCTTAGTGAGGACGTTAGCAAATTCTCTGAGAGGAGAGGGAAGTGCTGTTGTAGATTCTCTTGATGGGGATGGAGCTCTCAAGAAGTCCAGAAATATATCAGGTCGGTGGTCCACCAAATTGTCAACATTTGGTCTTTGCAAATCCGGACATCTTTCATGCGACCTTGAGGAGCTTGTTTCGGCAATTGTTGGGACAGTAGGTGGTGCCAGGGTCCACCTCTGGAGAGGCATCTCAGGTGAAGATCTCTCAGGAGCTAAGGCCACTGAAATGGACTTCGCTGGCGGTTCCTTAGAATGGCGACGCTTTAGGGGTTGAGCCTCCTGTTCAATCTCAACCTCCTCAGGTCGGCTCACAACTTCGGCAGGATCCTCCCTCTTTTTACCCTGGCAGCAGCTGCTGCTACTTTTGCTGCTTTGTATCCCAACATTTCTTGATCTTGATCTAAAACAAAAGAAACAATGGATATATTAGTTCCGCACTCAAGGAAAATACTAATTGAAATACTTAACGGAAGAAGTTGGGATAGAAGTAGGAGCCCTAGCTGAAGTTAAGGTGGGAGGGAAAGACTGGAATAACCCTGCTTGGAAGAGGTTGGAATCAGATATCACAAACTTGCAGGACCTCTGTTTATTTGGAAAAGCTCTTATAACTTGAGCTCGTTCTTGAATTGCCGAGGTCAAGGTTGCCTTCTTCTAGTCTTCAAGTAAAGCCAAATCAATTAAGGACATGCTTATAAAACAAGTGCAAAAAAAATACAAAGGTTTTGTTCACTTACATAATGGGTGATAGAGAGTAGGAACTACGTCCTCCCTATTCACCTCGGCAAGGTGGAACTGCCACTCTCCCAAAACATTAAAGAACTCATCTTTCCATTTCTTTATTAAGGATGGAGTATCTAATACTAAAGGACCACCCGTCCTAGGCCTAACACTGGCATATCACCGGCCAGTGTTCTTCCTGTCCTCCTTAAAGGCAAAAAGGGAGTCAAATTGCACTACGCTTATTTTCGTCCGAACTCATGCCAATGACCGAGGTGAAAATGCAATAAAAAGAAAGGTATTTTCTGTTCAAGGAAATACCTGGGAATGGATGACATCACTCAGAAAATAAATGAAAAATCAACGAAAATTTGAAGAAAATTTTTTACTTCTTTGAGAGAAAATTTGAGACCAAGAAGTGTGAAAATGAAAAGAAAAGCTATATTTAAAGAGAGGGAAGATAAAAGGGCAAGATCTGGGCCGTTGGATGAAGAAATGGCTAGATTTTACCACTTCAGAACGGCGTCGTTTTGATGAAGCTTCCAAAAGAACTTATTGAAGATGCGTGAAAGCTCACCAAATCCGACTGGGACACCAGTCCAAACCATTCATTGTTGTAATAATGGTGAATATGGAAAAACGAGCCAATCATGTTCAAGGTCAGTCCGTCTCCAAAGCAAGCACCGACCGTCCGTTTGTTATATACACTTAGCTCATGCTAAATTAAGGTCGAATTTGCAAGGTCAGCTCATATTTATGACCGATGTCGTTTGAGGGGACATAATGATTGTAGATTCCTTATACACCGTCAAAACATTCAATCAATTAATGTTCATTTGGAAGGACTTACGTCAGTGCCCACCAATTCCACCAATCATATGCTATAGCTTCATTCTCTAATCAGTTCCTTAATTACTTGTGACCCCATTTAAGGTAACTTCATGATAACCTGATGGAGCCGACATCAACAACGAATCAGGATATGCCATTAACGTACCTTCCTAGCTCGGTACTGCATGATGATTTGACAGCAACCAATCATGACTTAAGCCATTGGCAAAAGTTCACAACTTGGTACTGTTGTTGACAAGACGGGAATATGAAAGATCCATGTCCGTCATTTCCTATAAAAAGGAGGACGGTATCATTGGGGAAAGGAGGGATAGGAAGCCTAACAATTTCATATTTGAAATATCTCTTTTGATAAAAGCACTTGTAGTTTATAAGTAATTATTAATAAAAATCCTTATTTACACTTGAAATTAGCTTGAATTTTGTTTATACAATTTTTGAGGTCAATAGAAACCATGTAGTTCAGTGTTCGTTCTGTTTACTCAATTTTGATTTTGGCAACTGCAACTTAAAACGCTAATCTTCTAATGTAAACTGGTCAAACGTACTTTCTTTTTTCTTTATAGATTTTTTTAGGGTTGGACATGGTTCGATCTGGTCCAAAAATTTCGAGTATTTAATAAATGGAACGTCGGGTCCAAATATAATTATGGAACTGTTCGGGTTCGGTTCAGTTCAGTTCCGTAGCATAATTAATTTTTTTTAACATTTACAACAATACTACATAAATACAACTAATGACTTGTTCATTCGTAGCTTTTACAAATTAACGTAGTTCAATTTAAAAACATATAAACAACAAGTTGTCCAATAAGATTAATTCACTAATTTATACAAATACCAAAAAATAGATACTGATACTAAAACATCGGTGATCCATATCAATAATTCATTTGCTTCAACCAGTCTACATAAAAAAATGAAACATTAATTAAAATTTATAGAAATAAATTTTTTAAAGTATTGCTAATACTTACCAACTATTTGATTTAATAATCAATTGAATATAGAAATTGGGTTGGGTTAGGCTAGCTAGGCATGGACTTGGNAAAACTGAATTTAGAAATTGGGTTGGGTTGGGCTAGCTAGGTATGGACTTGGCTTGGGAGTTGGAACAATAATCACTAAATTAGTTAATTTGCTAATTTGTTTAGAAAAAATTAAAATAATTTAATTAATTCAATATAAAAAATTATTTAGATTCGGTTCTTGGTCTAGAACCGAGAACTGAATCAAACCCGTCGGTTCTCGATTCAGATACCCGTTTGGGTATTTAACTTATGAAGAATTGCTCGGTTCGGTCCGAGAGTTTTGTCCAGCCCCAGATTTTTTAGGAGCCACAACGTGCTACAAATTTATTATCCATGTTTTCTATAGGACCCACAACTTATAAACAATACCAAAACCCAGCTTAAGCTACAATTGCATCATTACTAGATCACCTAAATCTTTAACCTTGTTACATATTCCAGAAATTTAAAATATCTACCACATTAATTTAGAAAACAAAGAAATAATTAGCAAATAAAAAACAATGAAATGAGAGAAAAAAAACCCAGAACATTCTGCCAATAAAGGGGAAATCTGTTTCATCTTCTTGTTTTGTTAATACAAATCTTAGTAAGTAACATCGAGTGAATGTTACCTCCATAATGTCATTAAATTTTTTTTTAATTCTATGTAAATACTCATGGTAACATTTTGTAAACAACTTGACAATTCATCTTATTAGCATGTGAATATTGTGATTCGCTTGGTCTATGTACTTTCGTGGCCCAAAAAATGAAACAATACCAAACTGCAGGCCTTTACCTTTCTGAGACTGGAAATGAATTCCAAACCATAACCAAAAACTCCAGTCCGGATCCATTTTTTCCTAGATATGACTGTTATTATACATATAGCTATCTTTCATCTTCAAGAAACTTTCTCATTTGTGCAGTTACCGAGAATACTGGGTGATGATATATTGGATTTGGTGGTTATTGGCTGTGGACCTGCTGGTCTTGCTCTCGCTGCTGAATCAGCTAAGCTAGGATTGAATGTTGGACTTATTGGACCAGATCTTCCTTTCACAAATAATTATGGTGTGTGGGAAGATGAGTTCAAAGGTGCTAATCTTTATTTGTTTTATGTTATCTGGTTGTTTCAATTGATAATGAATATATGGTAACTAGAAACTTATATACTGCAATGACAGTAAAATGATATTTTCCTTCATGCAATCTTCTTTTGATTTCTTATAATGCTTTAGAAGTGAAGAGATACATTTTACATGGTTGTGCACGCTATTTTCACAGTTTCCTTGCAATACTATTGTTATTCCCAACAGTGCAATCTGGTGAGGTAGAGCACTTTGAGATGCTGCTGCTGCTCCTTGATTTCGTTTATTTTACTAAGTGAATTAATTAGTGTAAGAGGTGAAACTCATTGGTTAATTTATGTCCACATGTGATGCAAGAAACTAGACTGTGATCCACCCCCCTTCTCTCTTTAGGAAAGACAAGAAGCATTCACCACTCACCAACTATGAGATGATACGGACCAATGGAAACTACGATCTCGAAAGCAGTAATGAATTAAATTGATTGGATTAACATGTTAGTATATGATAACATGAAGAATAATATGGAAGGTATCTATAATATCATGTACTATTCTTACATGCGACAGCATGGTACACATCTACTTAGTAGAAGGTCTGACATTATGTTTCCAATATTTAGTAGTTCATGCTGTGCTTAGGTGACCATGATCTTAAAATTCTACTCAATTCACAATCCTTTTTTTAACTCTGTTATAATATCCTGTCAATTGAATTTGGCCAACTTTGAGGGCGCACTTTCTGTAATAACTGAAAATTCTCTACTTGTCATTAACCTAAGTATATGGACCAAGTTGTGCGATAACCATAGTTTAAGGACATAGCCACAACTCCCGTCAAGTTATGGCTTAAGTTACCAATTTTATTTCAATCAATGGTGGAACTAAAACTCATAATGTTGAAACTGAAAACTCCATGAATGTTAGACCATAAATATGATCGTTGAAGTCATGGGAATGGAAAACGTCTGGAATGTGAAAGGTCTACATTATATATATATATATATACACACACACACACACACACACACCACCACCACCACCACAAACACACACGAACCTTCTTTTTCAGAAGAACACAATTCTCCTACGTGCTAATACAATTATCAGATTCAAGGTAAGTGAAATATACATATTTCATTGTTTAAAATTACAGAAGTCAATATTTATGTTATGAAATCATGGAGTTTAGTAGCGTTACGCACGAAATTAGAATCACAAAGTTCGATTCTTATAATTTCGTGTTTCAACAAGTATGTTCATGAATCTCATGGATTTTTTTTCTTGTTACGTTGTTTCACTTATTGAGATTATCATCTCACATTAATTATGAAATTTATTTTCATAGGTAATAATTAATCAGTGATTGGAGACGGACGAAGATTGGGCAAGCACGCATCGGTGGTTAACGATTTAAATAATGTTATGGATTTAAGGAAGTGATTGGATTTGATAATCACATCATTTTAGTTTTGAAAGTCTTATGTTTTAAACATTTTGCTCTTGATTTTCTCTTAATTTTATGAAAGCTTTTATGTTTTCAATAAATTGTTTTAAGTTCAAGATTTGATGCGTTTCAAATGGTATTAGAGCGCGGTTTACATTTCTGTATACTAAAAAGAAAATTCTGACTGTTTAGCGTGAACAATGAACGACAGTTACTGTTTACAATGAACAGTGATCGTATAGTCAATATTCAACCTTGAACAGTGACGCACAGTCACTGTTCACGGATTTTGTTTTACAAAAAATAAATTTTGCGGGGAACAGTAACCGAGCAGTCATTGTTCACAGTGATACGTGCAATTTTTATTTTTTTTTTAAAAAAAACCACCATCACTCAATGCTTTGTTCGAATCTTCGGTGTCTCAAATCAGGTAGAAAATATATATGATATTGTTTGAATTATATTATGTTATTTACAAAATTACGATTACTTAACATGCAATTTTATGAAAATTATAAGTAAATGCATGATTATGTGTGCGCAAATGAATATGCACGAAATTATGTATAAAATTGATTGGGAATGATTATTATATTGAATTATGCATAATAATGAATAGGTGCTTAATTATAGAAAGTTCCCTCATATAATGAAAAGTGTAAGTTTGTGAGAACTAAAGAAATTTCTAGTTTTAATGAGTTAGAAACCTACACTTTGAGGTTCCATATTTAAGAAAGATCATGGTTCAAGAATTTCTTTTAGACACTATATATCTGGCTTGAGGAAATGTTCAAATACCAAACTGCCCCTGCTGTGTTGATTGCGTGCTTGAGGGATCGATGGATTATTAATATTCAAGACACTAGGAATATTGAAAAACCCTTGGGATAAGAGTCCGATCGTCGCCGTCTACGTAGCCCACCTAGTGTTGGCAATTTCCCTAGTGTACCAACAGTTGACAGAATGGGTAATATTATTGGAGAAGTGATAGAGGAAGAGGAGGACCCTGAAGAAGAGGAGAGCCATGAGTACCGCCTCGCATCATATTTTGGGGAGGATGTATTGGATACCACGAAGTCTATTTGATTTATGTAAGTTATTGAGATTGAATGAAATAAAATTTGTTATTTTTCTCATTTTTGGTCTAGTAGTTAAATGATTTTACATTTGCAATTTATCAAGGTCATGGAAACTCGCTCTAGAAACACAAACAATAGGAACGATCAACCCCAGACCGGAGCAACTGAAGCAAACAATGACAACATTTACAACCAGAATAACCAATTCATGTAGTTTATTGAAGCGATACGCAACATGGTGCCACCCACCGCGCCGCCTGTTGTACCACGACCTGCAGTGAGGAGTGTGGCTGTAATAGTGGAACAATATAGTAAGCTATAACCCCCTAGCTTTGAGGGAGGCACAGATCCACTAGTGGCAGAAGAGTGGAAAAGCAAGCAATAACGAATCTTTGAACTTGTGGAGTGCCCCAAAAGTCGAAAGGTAATATGTGCAACCTTTATGCTGGGAAAATGAGCAAGACACTGGTGGGAAATGACCAACAGGTCCAGAGAAGCTGGACAAGGCTGGATGTGGAATGAATTCAAAGAATTATTCCTATAAAAATACTTCCCACCAACATTCAAAACCAGAGAAAAGTGGAATTACTGGTGTTCAAACAGGGAAGCTGGACACTGGCGGATTATGAAAGGAAGTTTGAGGAACTATCTCGCTACGCCCCGCAATTGGTTAATATAGAGGAAAAGAAAGCGAGACGCTTTGAACAAGGTCTCCTTGATGATCTCCGACAATCAGTGGTCAATTTTGAATTGGGTACATACCACGAGGTACTAGCCAAAGCACAGTTGGCCAACTTTAGGGAAAGTGCCAACAGTATAAGTAAACCTCAGCAACTTGTACTGTTAGAGAAGCGTAAATGGGAGGATCACAAAGATAAAGGGAAGCAAAATTTTGCAAAGAAAGGGAAAGGAGGATCAGCTTCGAGCAAATATTCGGAGAATCCAATTTGTGACAAATGTCAGAAGCGTCCGCTGGGAAATGTCTCATGGGAACCAATGTATGCTTCTATTGTGGAGAGACGGGTCACATTGCAAAGTTTTGTCCTAAGAATCAAAAGCCGAAGCAACCACCACAACAACAGAAACCCTAGAATCCACCTAAAGGGCAAGCCAGGGTCTATGCCCTTACTGAACGTGAGGAGGAAGCCGGCCAAAATGTTTTGGCAGGTAACATTCTCATAGCTGGTACTCCTGTATATGTTTTGATAGATTCTGGTTCCACCCACTCTTTTATATCGTCGAAATTTATGAGCACAATAGAAGTAAGTAATGAAGTTGCCAATACACCATTAGAGGTTGTCATCCCTTCAGAGGATGTACTTAACACGAGTCACATAGTAAAGACAGTAGGAGTAGAAATTGATGGTAAGATCTTGGACATGAATTTGTACGTCTTGAACATGCGTGAGTTCGACATAATCTTGGGAATGGACTGGCTTTCAAAGAATCATGCCACGATTCTATGCTTTGAGAGGGAAGTAATTTTTAGATGGCCTGGAGGAGTAGAAATTCGTCTATCAGTGAACAAAACAAAACCCCTACCTAAAGTCATTTCTGCTTTAAAAGCCCAAAAACTTCTAAAGTCAAAAGGATGCATGGGGTTCTTGATGTCAGCGCTGGCCAAAGAAGGTAAAGCACTGACAGTTGGAGATGTCAAAGTAGTACGGGAATTTTCAAAAATCTTTCCCGAAGACTTACCTGGGATGCCTCCAGAACGGGAAGTAGAGTTCACAATTGATTTGACTCCCGGTTCTGCTCCTATTTCTAAAGCTCCCTACAAAATGGCACCAAAAGAGTTGCAGGAATTGAAAACACAAATCAAGGAATTATTGGGAAAGAGCTTTATAAGACCCAGTGTATCGCCGGGGGGCGCCGTGTTGTTCGTTAAGAAGAAAGATGGATCTATGAGGATGTACATCGACTACTGGGAATTGAATAGGATCACCATCAAGAATAAGTATCCACTTCCTATAATTGAGGATCTGTTTGATCAATTACGAGGTGTGACAGTATTCTCTAAGATCGATCTGGGGTCGGGATATCATCAGTTGAGGATAAAAGCTAATGTTATTTCGAAGACGACCTTTAGAACTCGATACAGTCATTACGAGTTCTTAGTTATGCCTTTTGGCCTGACTAATGCTCCAGGAGTATTCATGGACTTGATGAATCGAGTTTTTTAAGAATACCTAGATCGATTTGTCATCGTGTTCATCGATGATATACTGATCTACTCGAAGAATGAAAGGGAGCATGAAGAACATTTGAGAATTGTGTTACAAATTCTGAAGGAGAAACTTTACGCCAAATTTACAAAGTGTGAGTTTTGGTTAGAACGAGTTATATTTCTTGGACACGTGGCCACATCTCAGGGAATTGAAGTAGACCCAAGTAAAGTAGAAGTGGTGTTAAATTGGTCAAAACCAACCAATGTAGGAGAAGTTCGCAGCTTTCCGGGTTTAGCCGGATACTACAGAAGATATATGGAAAAATTCTCAAATATATCGGGACCCTTGACTCAGTTGACACGTAAGGGTGCGAAATTCGAATGGACTGAGAAATGCGAACGTAGTTTTGAAGAATTGAAGACAAGGCTAGTGAATGCGCCAGTATTGACTATAACTGAAGGATCGGAAGGTTTCTAATATACAATAATGCATCCAAGCAAGGCTTAGGTTGCGTTTTGATGCAACAAGGCAAGGTAGTCGCCTATGCATCCTGACAATTGAAACCTTATGAACAGAACTACCCCACACATGACTTAGAACTTGCAGCAGTTGTACACGCTTCAAAAATTTGGAGACATTACCTATATGGGGGTAAATGCGACATTTATACAGATCATAAACACCTCAAATACATTTTTACTCAAAAGGAGTTGAACATAAGACAAAGGAGGTGGCTTGAATTGGTAAAAGATTATGATTGTGAAATTCATTACCACCGAGGCAAGGCGAACGTAGTGGCAGATGCCTTGACTAGGAAGGCCACGAGCAAGTTGGCAATACTAACAGCGCAGGAACCTCTACATAAGGAATTCGAGAGTACACCACTCCTTATTCAGTACACCCGGGAGGTACAAAGATGTATCGTGACTTAAAAGCCGTATTTTGGTGGAGGAATATGAAAAAGACATAGCTAAGTTCGTTGAGAGGTGTCTTATACGTCAACAAGTGAAAGCTGAACATCAACGACCATCAGGGTTACTAAAACCGTTGAAGTTCTGGAATGGAAATGGGAGCACATAACAATGGATTTTGTTATTGGTTTTCCAAAGTCGGTGAACGGTCATGAGGCTATTTGGGTAATAGTCAATAGATTGACTAAAGCAGCTCACTTTTTGCCTGTCCGGTGACCTTTTATGTGGATGAATTAGCACAATTATATGTTAACGAAGTGGTGAGACTGCATGGTGTTTCAGTCTCAATTGTATCAGATAGAGACCCAAGGTTTACATCCAACTTCTGGAAAAGTTTGCATCGGGCAATGAGAACTAAGCTAAAGTTTAGTACAGCATTCCACCCCTAACCCAATGGACAATCTGAGCGAACTATTCAAACTTTAGAAGACATGCTCCGAATTTGTGTCTTAGAATTTGGAGGGCATTGGAAGAAACATTTACCATTAATTGAATTCGCTTACAACAATAGCTACCATGCCTCTATCAGTATGGTACCTTATGAAGCACTATATGGAAGAAAGTGTACATCACCTGTTCATTGGGATGAAGTAGGTGAGAGTAAGATATTAGAGCCTGAAATTGTGGACCAAATAGTTCAGGCCATTGAAAAGATCCGAGCTAGTATTAAGACCCCCCAAGACAGGCAGAAAAGTTATGCGGATAGAAGACGAAAAGGCGTAGAATTTGCAGTTGGTGATCACGTATTTTTAAAAGTCACTCCAATGAATGGTATCTAGCGTTTCGGTAAGAAAGGGAAACTTCGACCGAGGTACATTGGACCCTTCGAGATACTCAAACGAGTTGGAAATGTGGCATATCAGTTAGCTTTGCCACCGGAGCTTTCTGTAGTGCATGATGTCTTCCATGTATCTACACTTAAGAAATACGTCCCAAACCCGAGTCATGTAGTAAAACGTGAATCATTGAAGGTTCAGCGGAATTTGAGCTACGAGGAAGTCCCGCTTTACGTTATAGCCCACAAGGTACAAGAACTTTGCAACAAGGAAATATCACTGGTCAAGGTATTATGGCAACATCATTCAATCGAATAAGCAACTTGGGAACGCGAGGATGAAATGCGAACCAAATATCCCCAACTATTTGACGAGGACAACTAAGGTAATTTTTTAGGACGAATTTTTTTTTAAGATGGGTAGATTGTAATAACCTAAAATTCTCTACTTGTCATTAACCTAAGTATAGGGACCAAGTTGTGCGATAACCATAGTTTCAGGACATAGCCACAACTCCCATCAAGTTATGACTTAAGTTACCAATTTTATTTCAATCAATGGTGGAATTAAAACTCATAATGTTGAAACTGAAAACTCCATGAATGTTAAACCATAAATATGACCATTGAAGCCGTGGGAATGGGAAGAACACAATTCTCCTACATGCTAATACAATTATCAGATTCAAGGTAAGTGAAATATACATATTTCATTGTTTAAAATTACAGAAGTCAATATTATGGTCATGTTATGAAATCATGGAGTTTAGTAGCGCTACGCACGAAATTAGAATCACGAAGTTCAATTCTTATAATTTCGTGTCTCAATAAGTATGTTCATGAATCTCATGGATTTCTTTTTTTTTTTTTCATGTTACGTTGTTTCACTTATTGAGATTATCATCTCACATGAATTATGAAATTTATTTTTATAGGTAATAATTAATCAGTGATTGGAGACGGACGAAGATTGGGCAGCACGCATCGGTGGTTAACGATTTAAATAATGTTATGGATTTAAGGATGTGATTGGATTTGATAATCACATCATTGTAGTTTTGAAAGTTTTATGTTTTAAACATTTTGTTCTTGGTTTTCTCTTAATTTTATAAAAGCTTTTATGTTTTCAATAATTTGTTTTAAGTTCAAGATTTGATGCGTTTCACTTTCATTCTTTCACATGCAACTTCTGGCTCATGTTTTACCATTATTTTAATGCTGTATTTACCATGTACTCAAATGTTTGCTAACATTCGGCCATTAGAATTTGGGAATGGTTATCATAGTAAAAGTATATTTTTCATTGTTTTGTACACTCGTTTATCAACTGCTCATACATCTTATATATGATGATTTTTCTTAAAGTCACTTCTCGTTTATTTCAGATCTAGGCCTTGAACGTTGCATTGAACATGTCTGGCGGGATACCATAGTATATCTTGATGATGATGATCCTATTTTTATTGGTCGTGCATATGGACGAGTCAGTCGCCATTTGCTCCATGAGGAGTTACTGAAGAGGTAACATTTTGTTATTTTGAATCATGCACATTTACTCTACTGTGCATTTGATTTTTGTACTACTTATTCCACTTTTCTATAACTTGTTAATTTTCCTAGGTGTGTCGAGTCAGGTGTTTCATATCTTAGCACAAAAGTGGAAAATATTGTTGAAGCCTCAGGTGGCCATAGACTTGTAGAGTGTGAAGGCGATATTGTGATTCCTTGCAGGTATGGCTGATATAACTATTTTCCAGCAAGATATAAGATTCCTCCTCATTTTGAAGTGTCTAACTAAGAAACTATAGGCTTGCCACTGTTGCATCTGGAGCAGCCTCGGGGAAACTCTTACAGTATGAAGTGGGGGGTCCACGGGTTTCTGTACAGACAGCTTATGGCGTCGAGGTTGAGGTAGGAAAGTAGTAGATTCCCAACTTCATCATTTTAATTATGTCTTTCTCTAAGCTTGTTAGTTGAAAAAAAATTGGGACCTTATTACTTTTTGTTTAATTGTAGTACTGCTGTTTATGATCTTCCAAGCTATAAGGTTCACATTGTAACTGTTAGCATTGCAATTCTATGATTGGTGATTTAATTTTTTTGCCATATTTTAGGTGGAAAACAATCCGTACGACCTGAACCTGATGGTTTTTATGGATTACAGAGACTGCATTAAACGCGAAGTTCAAGGCTTAGAAGCACAATATCCAACATTTCTTTATGCAATGCCCATGTCACCAACAAGAGTTTTCTTTGAGGTTCAATGTGTTTAGTGCTTATATTTCTGATGCACTCTTTATTATTCATTATGATGATTTTGCGCACCTAAAATAAGGTGTTTCCCAGGAAACCTGTTTGGCATCAAAAGATGCCATGCCTTTTGAACTATTGAGGGATAAGCTTATGACAAGATTAGAGACGATGGGTGTCCGGATTATAAAAACTTATGAAGAGGTATTTGACTTGCACACTTTATTGTTTAAATTACTAAAGAGGAGACGTACTCATAAATAAAAACTATGTACAGGAATGGTCTTACATTCCCGTGGGTGGATCATTGCCAAGTACAGAGCAAAAGAACCTTGCATTTGGTGCTGCTGCTAGCATGGTCCATCCGGCCACAGGTAATGATAGAATAGTTATTGCCTTTTGTGTTTTTTCTTCAATGAAATGATTTCATACTTTTGTCATCTTGCATTTATCAGGTTATTCAGTTGTCAGATCATTGTCGGAGGCTCCAAAATATGCATCTGCCATTGCAAATATTTTGAAACAACATCATGACAAGAACATGCTTATCACTGCAGGGATTACAGAGAATATCTCAATCCAAGGTACATGGAATGTGAATAATATCTCAGCTTTAAGCTCGTCGAGTTTCGCTGGAAGTTGTGTTTAATAGTTTTTCAATCTTGTTTGAATTCGCATAATGTGGTTTCAGCTGGTCAGTAAACTTTTTTTCATTGAAACACCATCAAAGCTTAGGTGGCTTTTTAGGGCTCCACCTCGACCCAATGGGAAGAGCTGGTCAGTAAACTTGCCTTAAATAGTTTAGCTCGTTGCCTAAATGATCACTTTTTCTGGTTAGAAGTTTGACTATGAACATATTCATTGACTACAAATTTTGGATAATTAATTTTAGAAAATACCATGTTTGTCGTTCGAGATTGTTGTCGTTCTTAACATGCAAACTGTGAATATAATTTCAGCTTGGAATACCCTTTGGCCACAAGAAAGGAAAAGACAACGAGCTTTTTTCCTATTCGGATTAGCACTCATACTACAACTGGATACTGAGGGGATAAGGACATTCTTCCACACATTTTTCCGTTTACCAACTTGGTCGGTTAACTTCTTCCCCATTTTCATGTTTTGCAAGAATAATCCTTCCACAATAATATGTATTGCATAGTTTTAAGTTACTTATTTTGCCAGATATGATTTTGAAAATTACTCTTTTACTAAAAACAACCTACTTTTCTTTGAACTTAACATGATTCTTGGCAAATATGTTACTCTCACAGGATGTCGCAAGGATTTCTTGGCTCGACTCTATCGTCAGCAGACCTCGTATTATTTGCATTTTATATGTTTGTTATAGCTCCAAATGATCTGAGAAAAAGCCTTATCAAACATCTGATAGCTGATCCTACTGGTGCAACTATGGTAAGGACTTATCTTACAATATAGAGAACTCTTTTTGTCCAGCATGTCCCACTATTATAATTCCTAGTTAAAATGAGTAACCTCTTTTAAACTCGCCTACGATCTTGTAAATAACTTTTGTATTTGATAATTATTCATATACATAATCTGAGTTTTTCTCCATTTCTAGTTTGAATGATGTAGTGTTCTACTGGAACCTATCAATGCTGACAGTTTCTCTATCTACATCCACATCTTCTTAGACGCCACGTCTAATTATTGTCTAAAATTGAAATTTGACCGTAAAAAAGCATGAATTATAGATTACTGTAAGTGAGATAAGAGAATATATAAAGCTTTATTCTCAATAAATTTAGCGTCAAATAAATCTTGACTAAGTTTTGGTTGTAAATGTACTGCAACACTTCTCTTAATCCGAGCTTGGAACTGGCTATGAAAAAATATAGGCCGAATTAGATAACTCTTTTTCCTGCTCTTCTTGTTTTCCTTTTCAGATTCAGGTGGTCTAACATGTTTTTTCTCCCTTGCTAACATAGAAGCCAATGCTATGGATTAAGCCTTAATCTTAATTAATAGAACATTTCATAGCTTAAAATTGCGTCGCTTGATATTTTAAAGAGATCTTATCGACAAATGCATATCAAGAAATCATAGATATAATCTGAATACCCTTCTTAGTTCCTAATTTAATATGCCACAAAGTTTACTCTTTTTTCCCTTTATTTTTCAACTGTAGAAGAATGAAGGATTATTTATTTATTTTTGTGATCCAGACAATTTCCTTTCCAACAGGATTAGTTCTTATTTGGAAGTTCTATTAGATAACTAATAGCCCCATAAAAGGGGTATCCTTGCAAAAGGGGATCATACAGATCAATGCCTAGACGACTGTTTACCAAAAATGAGGTCTCTACAAAGTTGTAAGGCCATGTATGGGACTAACGCCTCTTCTGTGCCAAAACAAATAGTAGCTGATTGCATTCATAAAAGAGAAATGAAACTGAACCAATAAACAAGTAATGCACTGCAACTCATGGATTAATTTCATCCTGATTATTTATTTGAAGAATATCTTGAACTATAAACATTTTCGATCCGGAGCATTAATATCGTTCCTACTTTTGTTAAGACTAAATACATTATCATCAATGACCAAATACGTATACAAACTTATTTATACACAAAGCTTTGAAGTTTCTCGACACCATTCAGCATCATTCAAACTTGTGTAAATTCAAGAGCATTGGCATCAGGATCTCGTGTGAAAATTGCCGGTCTCCCAGAGCGACTGAGGGTGTACGGAATGCCTGAAAATTTGAAAACGGGGTATACATTCAGATAAATGTAAAGAACATCAATCAAGGTTTTTGGGAATAAAGCAATGAATGGTAAAGCAGATAATAAGATGAATGACCTTCTTTATCAAAAATTGCTTTCAGTTTAGACACATCCCGAATTGCTATGCAAGTATGACGATCTCGACCACCATGTTCTGGTCGGCCAGTTAATGGGTCGGGATTTGGAAGCTCCATTAAGTGTATCATCTCAGACCCCACCCACAACCAAGCACCACGGTAAGGGAGCTTATCATGAGGTCGTGCCTCATTTATTTGAAGACCTGATTAACTAACAGTCAGCATTTTCTTACTAATAAACAAAAAAAAAATAATTCTCATCAGCTTCTATGGCATATAGAAAAATTTACCGAGAATATTCTGGTAAAACTGCAATGACCTTTCAAGGTTCTCGCATAAGATTCCCACATGGTGAACACTAACAACTCCAAAATCTGCAGAGAGACATTTTCTATCAAGTTTAGCATCAAATGGGCTTTTGATCTTCGGCTCAAGTCTCTATGCCAAATTATGAGATATCAAATTCAAACAACTGAAAGACCTCACGAATAATCATCAAAGCAATTGGAGAACTACTTGTTTATTCTCACTCTCTTCAATACATCAATGAGTAGAGCATACACTCGGAAAACTACTTGTTCTGCTTTCTTTCCTTTTATGTGAATGATCCATAATCAAAATCACAAATCTTATGGTGTTTTGATGGTGACAGAAACCATTTTCCTTCTAAGACTTCTGTTTTATGCTAAAATCATTAAATGTGTATTCGTTAGGACTCAACCGACATAAACACTTGTATGTAGGTAGCCAAAAAAGCGTATCACTTGCGCACTTTATAAATCTAGACAAAATGGTATATGTAAAAGATAAAAAAGAATGATTACCATTTGTTTCATCAGCCGTCTCAACATTCAAAGATTCTTTAGCAAGCACGTCTGCTTTGAAGGACGTTTTAGATTTTATCAGCAGATAATGTCCCTGACATCCGCTGGTTCTTCTAGCAAAAAGATAATCTTTGTTTGAAAATGCTTTTACAGGGAGATCTTTTGCATTTCCATCATTGAACTAAGGAAAAAAAAAAAAGAAAAACAAAAAGTAATTAGCATGTTAACAAAGAGATGCTAAAATTCAGTGATTTCAATGCTGTTAAAACATATATAATGAGAAAGTTAAATGAATAAAAAAGAAAAAAATAGATAATATTAGTAAGTCTAATGAAATCTTTATTGGAGTAGACTTATCCAACTAGATAATTGCAAGAAATTTCAAAACTTGGGGTGAAATTTTTGAGGTTTAGGCGTGGCCACACGCTATTTTTTAACGTTATACTTCATTCACAAAGAGTTTTCTGCTGCTAGTTTGAAAACCACCTCCTTGCTATAACAAAGTCCATAAAGAGAATTGGCAGACCGCAATCCAACAATTTTCCCTTTAATTCTCGGCGGGAAAATTTATAATTCAGACTTGAATTCATGCCATATGAAATCGTGTTTCACATCCACTCTTTCTCAACTTCTAAAATTAAGAGGGTAGAATTTTAAGATATATATCATTACGATTGTGCTACGTGTATATAATGATTTACATAATGTTATACACATGATGTGGTGAGATATGACTGGTCAGGATTTCTTCGACCAAAAAAAAAAAAACTTCCCCACTCTCCTTTTGACACATCATCTGTATGTAAACTATTATATAACTCCTTATATACAAGTAACATTATTCATATCATTAAGGGTTATAGAATATGGTGAAAGTAAGCCTTATTCATTTAATAGATGGCTATTATTCCTTTCTATGGAGAGGATATTTGATTTAATATATCTGTCTCTTCATAAAAAGATAGAAAGAGACGCCTCTTTAAGAAAGTAACCTTTTTTTCCTCGTACACATTCACAAAGAATAGTGCTATTTACCACCACTGATGTTAAAATAATAGTTTATGTGACACTAATGTGGCAATAAATAAAAAATACAACTAAATGAGTCACTTAATTCCAGTGTTCTAAATAGCGGGAAATAGCGCCGCTATAGTGCGCTAAAGTGCGTAGCACGGAGAAAACGCTCCTCCGCTTCGGGGTATTCAAGTAAAAAAGCGGTCAACCTTTTTTGTTGACCGCTATAGCGTGCGCGCTTAAGCGCGCCTTATCCCGCTATAGCGCGCCTTATCCTCCTCTTTTTTCCCCTTAAAAAAAAAAATCTATTTTTTATATAAAATATATTTAATGTCTTAAAAATAATTAAAATAATATTAAAAATACAAAACGCATTATAGCGCTTATTCTTCGCATTGACACGCTTAAACTTGTGATTCTTAATTCTCAGCCTCGACACTACGCTACGCTTTACACTATTTAGAACATTGCTTAATTCTACCTTTCATTGAATTTATCACATAGTGCCACATAAACTGGTGTTATAGCATTAATGATGCTAGATAGCATTATTCATACAAAGAGTAATGTTATTCATCCTTAGTGGGGATGAAAACACAGTCTAGGTATCTTTAAATGATAGGTTAAATGAAATGTGAAATTAAATGACTTATTTAATTTCACCTATCATTTAATGTCACATTAACGCCATGTAGACTGTGTTTTCATCCCCAGTGGGGATGAATAACATTACTCTTTTACAAAAGAGGTGGCTGATAGACTTAAGGTACTGGCTAAAAGACATTTTGAAGAAGAAAAAACTGAGCTTTACTTTTCATATCCTGATAGTCAGGGTTATAATAAGTGTTCCTAAGTCACAAGAGGGGAATTTTAGGCAATTATTTACTTGGGTTGGGGCCAATAAAACTGAGGAATTTAGCATTTCTTATCATTATTATAGATACCTCACCAGTTAAGTGGCAATGGATCCCTTGATTCATTTTTCAATAGAGCCGTGATGCACTTCAATGCATTGATTGGATAATGAAGCACGAGACATGTTGCCACCTAATCGATGCGTGATGCACTTCAATGCATTGATTGGATAATGAAGCGCGAGACCTGTTGCCACCTAATCGATGATGCAACTCTACAAATGATAGATATCATTACTCTTTTGGTGACGAGTGATGACCACTAGAGGCCTACATTCAAGTCTTTGCCTTTGCTAAGTGGTGATTAATATACTATTATCTTACTTTTGTTATCATATTCAGCTGAATCAATGTGCCTTTTATATGATTCCCAATTTTACATAATATAATTGAAAAACAAAAAATCCATAAATTTACATACAAAAAAAGATGTAACAAGTTATTATTAAACCAGATCTAGTGTCCTGGGCTATAGCTAGAAAGTCTTTATCTTGATTACTAGTATTATCTTTTCGCCCTCTATTATTTGCAAAAGATAAGCATTAGAACTGTGTAAAATTTCTGCTTCCCAAATGCTAACTACATCACCCCATCTTAGTTGGGATTTAACCAAAAAAATCTTGAATAGTGGCTGTGTAGAAGCAATGCCATGATTCTTAATGATCAAACTCAAGGGAACAATTTACACATGCAGCTTCTCAAATGCTAGCAAAATGAGATATGCATAAAATGTAGAATGCAAATAGAATGCCCCAATTCAAAGGCACGTGACTGATACATTGCTTTAAAATGATACAACAAAAAATTCACTCATGTGCGTTACGAGGAGAGAACTAAATACCACAAATCAAATGAAATACTCCAAGTACATACCAACCAAAATTACATGATTAACAAGAAGATTGAGTTTTTGTTTTGTTTTCCACTTCGATATCTTTCTCCGATATTGATTCATATCCACCTTATTAAGCAGATGAATGATTGATAAATAACCAGTCTTTAGCCACTCTTATAATCACAAGCTCCGTGAAAGAAACACATATATAGTTAAATTAAAATGAATAAATTACCAAATAGTAGTATCCCCAGCTTTTCATCAATTGACTTTACTTGTTTCAAACCTAAAATGAAATTTATCTTGCTAAGAATTCTTCAAGACATGGGTTATTGAGGAAATCGATAAACAGGGTATCGATGAAAATTACAATTTTCGATGTTCGAAATCTACACTTCGAATTCCACGAAACCCTTTTCTCGCCATCACTCTACCGTCATAAACAGCCAATAAAGTTGATAATTAATACATCTAGAAAACATAAAATTACAAAAGAAATACGATTTTTACCCGGTTGAATGGCAAGTTTAGAGCTGAGCTCAGTAGAGAAGCCATGATTGGAACTTAAATCCCCTTTTTATGTATATATATTCTTGTTCTCTGGTTTTATATTTATCTACTTGGTTAATCAATGGCCCAAAACACGTAACCTGAAGTTCGCGGCTGTGGATTTTTGGCTGAAGAACACCACAAATTGAAGTTAAGGGGTAAATCTGAAAACATGGGTAAATACATGGGTGGTTTTTGTGAGATTGTGAAGTTTAAGGACCTCATAGCCCAATTTGATTTTATTTCATTATAGTCACTCCTCATATAATATTTCATCATGACCGTCCAACCTCTTTTAACCATTTTCACTAATTTTAAAAAGAGTAAAACAATAAATTTACATTGCATATATAAAATAAATTTTAAAAAACAAAATAAAATTTTTTTTTTTAATTTTAAAAACCTTTTTTATAATAAAAAAAATTAAGTAATTTTTTTTTAAAATAAGCTTTTATTTTATTTTAAAAATGTTTTTTTTAATATTTTTTTAAGGAACGTTTTCTTAAAATAAATTTTTGGTTTATTTTATTTTTTCTAAGTAAATCTTTTTAAAATTAGTTTTTATTTTATTTAATTATTTAAATAAGTTTTTATTTTATTTTACTGTTTTAAGTAACATTTTTTAAATAAGTTTTTATTTTATTTTATAATTTATTTTTTATATATAATGCAAAATTAACGTTTTGCCCCTTTTAAATATTAATGAAAATGGTAAAAAGAAGTTGAGTGGCCTGGTGAAACGTTATACGAAATTGATTGTCATGATAAAACGTTATATGAAATTGAGTGACTATGGTGAAATAAAAACAAGGAAAATATTTGCATTTCGTTCCATTTTCATTTAAACTGTTCTAGGTGAACCCCATGAAATTTCCAAAATGATAGAAGTCCAACTATTAGACATTATCGTCAAAAGTCTTTTACATATTATCGTCAATAATATTGATTACATCCAGTTAAAAGTGGAAATACTAATGATACTCATTGTACTCGTAATATGTAAGAATACTCTTCAGTAATATAATACGTGAGTCATATGCTTTAACTTGTATCATACACGTTTTCCAAGTAAATTTTTCAGATGAAATTATTTCATAGGACCATATGTTACAAACGATAACCCAGCGTCCTAATCGGGATGAATGGTCCAACCCTCAATCCTTGTTAAATATTCGCCCTCCATTTCATAAAATTGTTAAATAGAAAAATTGTGAATAATAATTCAGTGAGTGAACACATGTTCATGTGATATATTTTACCATGAATTCATTAAAATTTCTATCAATAAAACATAAATGACAATTCTTCATTCTCGGGCATATCATCATAATTGTTCATTATTCATGAACTTTTTTCATTGATTCGGATCACTTCAATAACTTGTAACATGAGCATTATTCATTGTCATAATTGATCGATCTAGTCACTTACATAACTTATAACATGATCTAGAGTGAATGGTTCTTGTCGTGTCGTGGTCATGATCGTGAGTGTGTGATTCTTGTCGTGTCATTTCATTGACATACCAATAGCCCGTCATTCATTTATTATGAGACATTTATTGAAAAAGAAAGGCGTGCTCAATATTAATTTGAAATATATAACATGAACACAATTTTATTTTAAATAAATCTTAGTGAATTCATGGAAAAATATAAGAGATTCATGAAAAATACAGACATTCTGAAAAATATCAATATAAATACTTTTAGTAAAAAATATTTCTGTGAAATTCGTTCACAAAATTTAACTCCACTCACCTGATCTTTATGTAATTGGGTAACTGTAACTCTGAAAATAATTTATTCATAGTTTAGATTTCATCAAAACGATAAATAGAGAAAAAGAAAATGTATACACACAAGCAAGTGCATACCAAGTAATATTTTACAATTATTGATTGTTCTTTCTATACCTTAATTTACGTTTAATACACACACGTGAAATTGATTTCCTAAGCACTGAAGACATGACACGATATAATAGGTGCAGTAAAATGGTTACATCACTTATTGTAGTGTATCATGTTATATGGTGTTTAGGAGATCAATTCCGTGTGTGTGTGTATATATATATATATATAAAAGATTACTAGGGGTTACCTTTCCCAGGATGGGAATGGCCAAAACATGTGTAAATAGATTATATTTGAGTTGACCCTCCGTTTTATCTCTTCACCAATTACTCATCTTAGATTCACTATATCTGAACATATCTGCAGCAATCCTGGTAGGCATTAAAATATATACACACACCTCACACTTTCACATTCAGGTTGAATGTGCAGGAATGTCAAAATCATCCTCTAACTATCAAGAAGTATAGTTCAGGTTCCCTATATGCGGGTCAATTCCCTAAATGATCACTGAATTTTTTTTTGAGGTTCCCACGGACTCACTAAACTTAAAAACTACCTCCGTTACTCACTTGACATTAAAAATTGGTATTACATACATCACTGCATAAACGACGTTTGCAAAATTAGAAAAAATTGATGATGTTAAACATGAGTCTACATGTATGTGACCGTATTTTATTCACAAATCGTCCAATGCATATTTGGCTATTTTTTAATAATTGTTGAATGCGTGGTTTTATCCAAATGTAGAACTTTTCAAAATTTGAATTTCATAAATTTTATGAGCTAGATTATTATAGCTTCTAATTAATTATAGCATAATTTATGTAAAAATCTGATTTATAGTTCCCAAATGCGTGTCATGTAAGCCATATCGATAAATATTTCATAAAATCCTTCCAAGTTTGTAAGCATCATTTACGCATTAATGGATGAAGTACCAATTTTCAAAGTTAATTGATTAATGGAAGCAATTTTTAATTTCAATTTTAAAAAAAATCCAGCGACCGTTTAGGGAATTAACCCCTAATCTGTTCATAAATGTCAAATTTAGGGGTGGACATGATTTCATTTAATTCCGGTTTCAAGAGAATCGAAACCAAATCATCAACCAATAATTTTCCTAATAATGGAACCAGTGGTTTTTTTTTTTTTAAGATATGGGATCAAATTGGAATCAAACCATTCGGTTTTGGTTCCATTACTTAATTTTTCAAAAATAAATGCAAATTAAAATCTATCACTATGGGTGTGTTTGAATCTAATTTTGAGGAGAATAACAATTTTGGAATAATGATTGATATGAGAATGTGTGGTGTTGTGTTTAATATTATTTTATTTAGAGAATATATGGTTGAAATGAAAAATAAGAATGAGAAATTAGTGGGTGTCAAACGGGGGCTATATTTATAAGTTAGTGGCATATGCATAAATCAAAAAATAAAACATCAAACATTTAACAAATTCAATTTCAATAATCAAATGAAATATTGTGTAACAAAATTCGTTCACAAAAGTTCAAACTAACAAACAAAACATATTCATAATTTACATACAAAAACATCAAGTTCCATCGCTTTACAAATATCGTCTAATAACAATAATTCACTAATGTAGATGAATGAGTCACCGACAAAAATTAAATTTTTTTGATATGATTCATTGATTTGTAAAATAAATACATATATAAAAAATTAATAAAAATTGAGCTTAGTCAACTCAAAACCATTAAATTTTTTTGTACTACTTGATTTGTTTTGATTAGGCTTTGACATTTTAATTGAAACCGAACCTCTGAAATCGAAATCGAATGTTCTGATCCAGTTTCAAAAAAATAAAGTAGGAACCGAAGCCGAGAACCGACTAGGTCCGGGTCTGTTCTTAGTTCTTGAATCAAAACCACGAGTAATTGAATGCAACTAATTTTTTATATAATATTTTATTTACAATTTGTATATTGGGTTAAAAAAAACCTAAAAAAATTCTATTTGGGTAGTACTAGTTTGTCTAAAACTTTAGACTTTAACCATAAGAAATCAAAGTTGACTCCTTTTTTTTTTGCCTCTCGCATCAGATTGTTGAATTTCATAGATTAGTGCATGTTAATCTTTATACTTTGGGCCTTTTAGGAATCAAAAGAGTTTAAGCTAAATTGTGGTGTAAGTTGATAAGTTAAAGTGTTCATTTTTTGCAATTAGAGTTATTTAACTTTCTTGCATTGTTTAGAAATTTAAGTGATTTTTTATAATATGTGACAATTGAACTTGATATATTCATAGTTTGGACAATGGTGTACTTTTTTTTTTTTTTTTAATCTCAAGTTTATGGTTCTTTTGAAATATAATTTTTTTTCTTATTCAAATAAAGCGAGTTCAATATTTTGACTACAATTTCTTGATGCTATATAGTTATCATGCAACTAATTAATATTTTTTTTTTATGGCAATTCGTTTTAAGATTTGAAGAATTTAAGCGTTGTCCATGAATAATTTATAGGTTCTAGCATGTCTTACTTATGGATCCAATAAGATATTTCTCAAACTTTAATTTAATTTTTTTAGTTTTAATTTTCTCATTTTTCCATGATATTTAGTCTACTATTTTGCTTTTTGAAAATTGATTAGCTAGATTTTCTCCTTTATACAAATATTGTCGAGTAGTAGCATGTTAAGTATATATATTGAAATGACATATATGAAAAATATTTATTAAATGTATATAAAAAAATATTATGGGTATAATTGAACTCGAACCGAAACCAACGGTTCGAGTTTCAGTAATTATGAGGATTTGAATTGTTCTATTTATAAAATATCCAAATTATAATATGTGGTTTCGGGTATTGAAATACTCGAAGAGCCCACCTAACACCCAGGCATAGATTCGATTTTGGTTTGATTTGGTCTGATTTGGATTGGTAATTTTGTCCACCCCGAGTCAAATTCCTTGTGCAACTATGGGAAGTTTATTCTTCATCCCCATCTATCATTAAATTCAAGTTCCTCTAATTATTTAGATGCGACAATTTGATCCTCCAGCTATTTGTAAATGTCAACATCATTCTCCAACTACTAAAACTATCATTGACGTCCCAATTAATTCATAAATGTTAACTTCATCCTCCCACTACTTGGAAGTATCATTAACA